TATAGGTACAATGTGTTAAGCAAGCGAAGGAACTTGCTTCCTCGAAGTCGACCTTCTAGGGATACATCGCTGAGACAAAGACAAAGTTCTTTGCCATGGTGGTTGGTATGAAGTCTCTAAGACCAACTCTAGTAAAATGACCTCAACGCAAATATTTGGGTTTAAATCGAAAATTGCCAACCCAAATTTAAAAAATATGGGTTTGGCCCAAATCAAAACCCAAATTTGGCTGATCCAAATCTTGAGTGGGCCCAATTTTAAAAAAAAAATGTGGTTGAAGGGTTAGAGTTAGTGGCAGATAGCTGGGTCACCGCATGGCAGAAACCACAGTTGTGGGACCACGATTTTTCAATGCCGAAGTAAGGCATATCAAATATGACCACCTTCAGAAGTCCGGTCATGGACTCAACAACTTCCATCACAGAGTTGCATAGACAATCAGGGATGCCACCATCATTCAATTATGAAGCAGTAGGTGAAGTCTGACGACTTCGCTAAGATTGACCATGCTTGTTCCACAAGATATGAAAATTTGATCCGGTATGGAATTAGTCAGGTTTCTTATATTCTTGGAGTTCTACAATCTAGGGATTGGTGTGTACCGCAAGTAATCACACATCTAAGAGAATGCAATATCTACTGTAGATATCTTCTGGGATTCTCATGGTTTAATACAGATTTTATATCATTAAAGGACTATATCTAGATTGGTATAAATACACCATTCTAGGGTTTATCTTTGATAATGCAATTACATTTATTCTCATACCTACTGCTCGAGTCTCATATATTTGCTTACTAATTTGAGCGTCCGAGAACCTTTAGTCGACATCCTCCCTTGGTTCTTGGGCTACTTATAGTTGTTTGTTGTCTTACAATTAAACATGTTTGTGTATCTCCACCCTTCACGACAATGTGCAAATTTGGTTCCAACAGTGGGTGCTTTCATTGAGAGTGAATTCATATTCATCTCAACTAAATCACTCTACCATAACCATGTCTGCAGAAGAAGCTTAGTTAACACCAACATTAACACTACGGCAGGAAATAACCCACTTCCCAATGCCTAAGTCACCTCCAGCATGGACAATCCATTTCCTAACATCTTTATTACTCTTGGTGTGAGCAATCAGGACCTTGATGCTAAACCCAGGAAATAATGATGCTCCCACTACTAGAACCCTTCCCACCATGGAACAGATTTGGGAGACATTACTGAAGATCAACACCTTTGTTGATTAATTGTAGAGAACCTACATGGCTTTATGGGCTGAGAGTCATGCAAACTTCATGGATATAGAGACGCAGATGAAAGCCTTGGGAAGCTTAAGCAAACTACTCCACAAACCTATATTCATGTCTTCAATTATGGTAATTTAAGTACCATAACCTCAAGGGGCAACTAATCGTGCCAATGTTTGTTTTGACCCTAACACAGTTGCTGATCTGAACACGTGCGCCCCGCACGATGCCTTTCCTGGATTGGGGGTTGACCTACATTGTGGTAAGGACTGAGCCATTCGATGACCTTTGGGTCTTTAATCCTTGAGCTTATGTGGATGGGGTTTTCTCGATGCTGCCTCAAGAAGTCTTGATAGTCGCGATAAACAGTCTTTTATCATTCTTCTCCTTTTGCAAGGAGGTGCCTCCTTCCACTTCTCCTATTTTGGGTCGAACCAGCTGGGTTAAGAGAAGTCTCGCATTAACCAACACATTGATGGTAGTTCGCTCCTCATTAGGAGTATCCATGTTGAAGACTGGTGACCCTCCATGTTGAAGGGGCATCCTGGTGATGGTTAACATCCACATGGGTCATGGGCTCGTGAGATTGAGTCTACCTACCCTCATGGAGCATCTCAAAGAGTTTCTCATATTGTTCTTAGATAATCTCATTCTTCATTGCTATCTTGTTATTCTGAGCCTCAATCTCCTCAACCTTAGCCTAAAAAGCAAACTTCTTTCTTTCCTTCCTTCTCTGTCTCACACTAAGCACGAAGGGGGTGTCGTTCCGTGTGTTGTGGCTTCCTTCGCTTCCCATGTTGGAGAGGGATGCTTGATCAAAGGAGAGTGTGCAAATGATGGAAACTAGCTTGACAAAGCTAGAGAAAGTAGAAATAATAGTCGTTCCCACAAACAGCGCCAAATGTTGATGCACAAAATTAGTGAAGACTTTGGAACAACATAAAGTGTCAAGTTTGTAACCTTCGCTTGGTTGCTCCGGTCACCTTGTGAGGATAATATGTAAAGAGATAGAGATATTTAAGTAAACACAAGATGTACGTGGTTCACCCTAACTTTGGCTACGTCAACGAAGTAAAGGAGTTTTCATTAATAATGAAGGGTTTACACAAATACATAAGTTTAAGCATAATTAACATTAGTGGATTCTAATGATTGATTTAAGTACAATAATTACATTAAGGGTTAATTGTAGGAGAATAATCTTCTTTTATAGTTGAGGAGAATCTCCAGCTTTCATTCGCAGTCGATGTGGGACTCTATGAGCTTTATTCTAATGTTGACATGTGTCGTGCTGTGATTGGCCTCCTACGTGGAGGGAAACTCTTTTGCTTTGGCAGGGGTGCCTCAGCCTGAACCCCTCAGTGAGCCTTCAAAGATCTGAAGTTAATCGGTGCTTGGTAGTTTTGGGATTAGTCAAGTATGATACAAACAAGCATGATCAATCTTACGAAGTTGTTTGGACTTCGTGCACTACTCTGCAACAAGATGATGGTGGCACCACTGCTTTGTTAACCCAGCTTCACTCGGAGTTGTTGAGTCCATGACCAGACTTTTGAGGTACTTGTATTCCGATCCGCCTTACTCCGGCCATGAAAAATCATGGTCCTATAAGTAACTATATATCCTTAAAAGGATGCCCTTTCCAAAGCATAACTAGGGGCATTTGTGGACTATGAATTTTCCTAGCCCAAAGTAAGGCTACAAGTGCCTCAAAAGTCCGATCTTGGACTCAACGACTCCGAATTGAACTAACCCGCCTAAAGGGACCAACAATGCCATCATATACCCTCTTGGACTCCAGAATGATGGGCAAAGTCCACATGCCTTACTAAGAATAGCAGAAGCCTGATCTGACTGGAGATATAAAGATTATAATTCATCTACAAAAAAAATTCACTCTGAATCCAATAATTTCTGAAAGATTGTATGAAAATCAGAATATTACAAAGACTCCGCAAATTTAAATTTCCAAATGTTCTGAATTTCTAAATTTGAAAATCGAATTTTCCTTTAAATGGGAGTTAGTAACCTTGTTTATGATGTAATGCAACCCATCCGAAATTGCCCTTAGTTGGTGTATTGGAAAAAATGAATGATAAAAAATTCAGTCTATGTTTAAATGTTAAGGAAAACTAATGAAAATGGCTTGCAAACATAGAGTTTTAACGATAAGGACAAAATGAAGGGTAAAGTGAATAGTACCATGATTGACTTTTTAGTGTAAAAATATGATTTTTCGTTAAAGTGAATAGTATCGGCAACTTTTCGTTAAAGTTTCCTAAATGTTATTGTACTTAACGTTTATTACACATTGGATAGGTAATAAACATTTGAAAATAGTGTTGGAACGAGCAAATTTGGGCTAAGTCACCTAATGACTCAACCATAATCAATTGATATTAAACTCGCCATGTACGAGAGTGTATGGTATAAGTGTCTGTATATGAGAGTGTGTTTGTTTTTAATTTTGTTGTACTTAACAGTTATTATTATAATCGTTTTATACACACACATAGGGTGGGCACTTGAAACCGAAAAATCAAAACGGAAGCACGAACCAAATCGGACAACATCGAACATTTTGGTTTTGCGGTTTTGAAGTGGTTTCGGTTTGAAACCAAATTGCAATGATGGAAAATGGTTTGGTTTCGATTTGGCCTTTTGGAATCGAATCAAAACCGCACTGCACCGCAAAAATTAAAAAATATTTAATTAAATAACTATATTAGGTATTGTGTTCTAATTGGTTGTTTGTTAGACTTCATACATTTAGTATGGACCCAACCACGCCAGAAATTCATCTTTCTTAGTTTTCGATTTTTTTTTTTTTAAACAAATAATATTATCTACACTAAGCGGTGAGGGAGTCGGATAAACTTCATAATGGCTAGCAATAGTCAATTTCTTTCTCTTTCTTAACCCTTATCTCAAGCCGAGTTCACATACATCACATTCACACAGAATTATAATATTTTATTCCTTGATATTGTACTAGCATGCTTAGATACTCAACATGCTATCATTAAAATTATGAAAAGGGATCCTCTCCGGATCCCTTTCTCCTAATCCATCAAGTCCGGGGATTCGGGTTGTTGAAATTTGATCCAACGGCTAAAGTTATTATAACTTTTAAAGTGCGCTCCTGTTTGTAGCTGTTGGATCAAATTTCAATGGTCTGAATCTCCAGACTTGGTGGATTAGGAGAAAGGATCCCTTTCTTAAAATTACCGCTTTATAACTTACACCAGGTCGACAGTTTAATGATTTTGTGTGCAAGTATAATTTGCTATACCATTTGATGTAGTTGAACTTGTACAATTCAGATTAATTGTACAGTTGGTGGCTTTTTGTATTTGTACAGTAGGCAGTCAAATTGTTTGGAGTAGAACCACGAATAGTAGGTAATCAAATGGTTTTTTGTATTAACATTCCTGCATCATTGGGCACTGCTTATGTTTGAGTCGATGGAATGAATTACTATTTTAACATTTCACAGAACTGCAATTCTGCATTTACAATTCAATGTTTATGAAGCTATTCTTTCATTTTCTTTGCAAAGAGTTTGAAACTGAATCGATCCGAACATAACTAAATAGTGTAGTTTCATTTCGATTTTAGCTTTAAAATCATATGGTAAAAACTTTCGGTTTTAATTTCATTCAAAATCACACCAAACGAAACTGAACCCACCCTACACACATATACTTTACACAACACCAAATAAACGACATTTTACGAAAATCAATCAAACTACTTTACACAACACCAAATAAACGACATTTTACGAAAATCAATCAAAAGTAGATAAAACATTGTCATTGTGGTCTGGGAAATGTCGTCTAAGATGCTCTGTTGTCTCTCACCTCTTTAGCTTGCTCAGCCCGCGAAGGAGACACCATTTCCCTCTCTCTTTGGTTTTCCACCAAGCCGTTGTCAAAGTTCAGGTATAATCTCTCTCTCTCTCTCTCTCTCTCTCTCTCTCTCTCAATGATATTTCTGAAGCTAAATTCAGTGCATGTTTCTGATGGGTTTTTCTTCTTCAATATTTCAGACCAGCAAAAAAGAACCAAAGGTCCTTAGTTTTTGTCTCTCCCTCAGTCAAGTTCGAGCCCACCGTCTAAGTGGTGATTTGGGTTTCTTCCTCTGTCACTTTCCAAGTACCCATTTGGGTATCATCTTGCCTCTTGCCTTATAGGGTATGCTTCTTCCCTTCTATTTTGCTGCTTTTGAGAAATTCAAATTAGTGTTCCTAGATTTGTATGACTTAGATCTGACCAGAGTGTGGGTTGAGTTTAAGATACATGTTCTTATTTTGTCTGTTTGCTGTCTTTTAATGTTTGCTGTCTCTTTGGTTGAGGAGGTGGTTTATATAATTCCCTTATTTCGCCGTAGTTTGATGTACATTTGTTTTAGCTAGTCATTTGTTTTGGATTCTAGAGTTTGTACTTGAAACTCCAGTTGGAACACAAACCTTCTGAAACTGAGCAAAAATTCGGAATGAGCTGTGCTTACTATATTGAAAAGAGGAAAATACAAGGAAATGATTGGTTCAGTTTCGAGTGTCAATGTACGAGTTTAAAAATTTTGGCTGTAAAGCTTCGATATCCAAGAAAAAATGGCACATTCTTGGAAGGAACTTGAAATCTCATTTAGAAGACAACAACCATTTACGACAAAATCAGGGTGACAAACAGGATGAAGCTCATTCACGACATTTTTACCAAATTACAACTGTGAATACCACGTTGAACTGTGTTGATGTATCTTAGTGTCATCAGACCCTTTTCACTCAACTTTATGAATTAGGATTGAGGCAAGAGTAAGTTTCAACTTGGAATAAAAAGAATTTAAAAGAAAAATTGAAAAAGGGAATCAAAGTCCCTTTCTCGCCTTCTTTTGAAGGCATTTGATGGAGAAAGACCAGTGCAAAACTTTCTTTATTGGTGAGAATATCAAAACCTTGGGATTCTATTACATTTTATTTGAGAAAGCAAGCAAGGAACGAGGAGAAAACAAAATGTGAAATTGAGTTCAGGATAATTTGAAATTATTGGTCCGATGCACTTATTCATTGACGTACTTGAGGATAATATGAAATTATGAATTTAATTGGGACCAACGATACTGAGAGCTCATGAATTACCTGTCCTTACTTTCTTGAAAAGGAAAATTGGCGGAGTCTTAGAAGGAACTAGTTTAAAATCTCATCATTTAATTTCATTTCGATTGTCAGTTGATTATTGTATTAATTTATATAATTTCAAGTTGTTGTGCTTATACCAGTTGTTCTTAATCCATAATTCCATATATATATATATGCAACAGATCAACCAGTGCTCATTTTTGCGGCTCGGAAGATTAAGAAATGGGTTCACCCAAACCAAAAGAGGTGTCTACTTCAAGGGAGACTGAGGACACTGTTACTACCTCTAGTGGGGTAAAGAGGAAACGCGGGATAACAAATATGCGTCGCATAGCAAGTACTGGTAAGAAATTAATTGTACAGTATAACTCAAAGGGCAAACCATATGGGAAAGTAGCATCAGAGTTGGCTTCTTACATTGGGGTGGTGACACGTCGTACGGTCCCCATTAGTGTTGAAGGCTGGCCTAAGGTGGAGAAGGATCTGAAAAATAAAATTTGGGAAGCTATAGATGTATGTAGGCGACTTAAGTTGATGTTCTTCTATCTTTCACAAATGCAATCTCGTTGATAACTAATGCATTTCAAAAATCTCTTTGATAACAAATCTGCTTGCTGTGTTACTTTGTAGATGGTATTTGTCTTAGCCTCTAAAAGCAGAAAAACGGTGTTGTCTGCTGCTTCCAATAGGTGGAGGCAATTCAAGTGTGACTTAACCACAAAATATATTATGCCATTTAAAGATGATGCTGAAGCCCTGAAAAACCCTCCAAAAGAATATGATTTTATTAAGCAAGAACATTGGGAACAATTTGTAAATGGCCGCTTAACCAAGGAGTTTCAGGTACAATGAGGGACTTATTTCATAGTTATTTTTTTTTTTTTGGGTGCAGTGCATGATAGTAATTGCTAGCGAAGGAAGTGGTCTGCACTAATTCTTATAGTTATACCTTTCTTCATTCTTTTTTCAGTTTCTGCACACCCCTCTTAGTTCTGGCCCTTGATTCTCCTTTGCTTTGTATAATCCAAAGGCTTGTAAAAAGAGGGGTGTGCCAGAGGTGAAAAAGGGTGTGTAGAAATCATTTCCCTAGTAACTTTGTGTACTTAAATGATATTACTTGCTGGTCATGTATAACCCACAGAAATAAACTCGATTCTGGTCATATACATAATCCTAAACTGAAATACAGCCAACCCTTCATATTTGTAGCTGCAGTATGTAATATGTATTTTGTGGTTTATCGTAATTGTGAAGAGTAAGACTTTGAGATGGCTCCTTTTAAAGGATTAGATTGCAATTTGCAAGTGTTGAATCTTATATGGTTTAACAATCCTTTGAAACAATTATTATATACAATTAAATTATCATTTGAAGGTCACCATTAATGAAGTTGTCTTTGTAAACCGCTTTCCGATTTAACATTCAGTTGATTGCTTGAATACATGCACTTCTAACTTGCTCCTTTCTAGCAAGACATTTGGTCAAGGTTAATGGGTGCGTTCTTTTAATAAATATTTTTGGAAAAAAAAGAGAAGTATTGGGTAGGTTTGTATGTCTGGTGTACAGTTAATTGCTTATTTGACGATATTCTGGTAGATGAAATCTAATTCCCAGAATTCTTAGTTTTAAAATCAAAATCTTCGTGGTATCTCTATCATCTGGTTGTCTCTACTGAGCTATAACCATATATGCATATTGTAGAAACTCCATAAGGAACAGAAAGAGAGAAGGGCAAAGTTGAAATATATTCATAGAATGTCACGAAAAGGATATGCGAATTTGGAGGCAGAATTAGTAAGTTCATAGAATACCAGCATTTTTGCCGTTAATAGTTCCATTTACCTAGGCTAGGAGTTAGGACTAACCATACATTTGATTTGGTCAGAAAAAGACTATGCCTGAAGGTGAACTTGATGGGCATCTACTCTGGAAGAAAGCACGCGAGGATAGAAAAGAGAATATCTCTGATGTGACCATAGGAGAGCAGGCTACGAAGATTGTGAGTATGCTACATCCTGTAATATCATATGGTTATGATATGATTATAACTAAGAATGATTCATCATGCCTTTTGCATTTTTTTGTCGCTGAACCTTTTTATGAAACAGAACAGACAGCATTCTGAGCGGTCTGAACCTGCAGAACATTCTGAAGATTCCGAAGAATCCAGACATTCCAATCATTCTGAAAGTTCTGAGCATTCTGAACATGCAGAACATTCTGAACGCCCTGAGCATTCTGAACATGCAGAACATTCTGAAGATGCAGAACCTTTTGAACAAGCAGAACAGTCTGAACATCCAGAACATCCGGAACATTCCGAACATCAAGAACATTCGTACAATTTTGACGCCAATCCCTCCTCTAAGAATAATGGTGTCCTGACAATGGCATTGGAAACTCCTGAACAGTCTGGTAGGGTTAGAGAGGTGGGAGGCTTTGTCAGGCCAGGAGACCGACAGGCTCGGTTGGAGAAGGAAGATCTGCTGGATGAGGTCAAGAAGATGATTGAGCAGCAGGGGGCTTACTTTAAAGCCAAGATTGCTGAGTTAGAGGCAAAGATCGATGGTGGGGCCGCTGCTATCACACTTCCTACTCTAGCCCCCAATCCTTCTGGGAAGGCTGGCTGTTCTGGGAAGGAAAACAATGTCTTAGAAGATAATGAAATTGATTTTGAGGAATTGGCAGTTGTGGGTAAAAGAGATGCCATAAAGGTAAGAATAAAAACAATATTTTTGATATTTGACTTGTATCTTGTTTTATCATGTGGAATGCACTTATTGGGGGTGTTAGAAGGGTTCTTAGCCATTCACTTACAGTGTGCTTTCCCTTATATTCTGTTAATTGGAATTTGGAAACCATGCACATTGGTGTGAGCAATGGTACAGTAACTAAAGTGTGATGTGGCCATCCACAGTCAGTGGTGTTCATTTAGGAGATGGCAGTCTGAAAGTTCCTATTGATGTAGTTCTTGATAAAGCAGAGCTGCTTCTCGTTGCAGTTTCTGAGGAATAAGTAACAATTGGCCAAGTCGTAGGCTCGCATATCATGTTGTCTAAGGGTCTTGTTAGGTTAATATAGGAGGCAATAAATAACTCAAGTACATATGCCACTGTTCAACAATGGATTTCATTTTATTCTGTGCTTACCTACAAAAGTTCTTTGTTTATCATTTTATTATGGCCTCATGCTGTCTTCTGATATCATCTATATCTTCATCTTAGCTGCCAAACACCGCAGAAATGTGGAAACACTGCAGAAAAACCTCGAGAGTTACCCAAACAAGACGTGAGCCTGCCCAAGTCCCTCAAGCTGCTATATCGTTATGCAGAGCGCGCCATGCTGGATGGCGAGACTGTCAGTGTTGATATAGAGAAAGCAGTATTTGGTGTTTCCAAAACTGTATCCATTTCCCAAGAAGACATAATGCAGTTTATGGAAATGAAGGAAATCTCGGCCACATGCATGATTGTTTACATGAGGTAAATACAAAAATAATTATTAAATAGGTAAAATACAAAATGCTTATGATAATTTACCAATTAATCCAATTTTGAAGTTGTATTTCATATTTCTTTTTATACCGTTACGATCTTTAGCTGGTTATTTATTCATATTTACTATACTATTGAGAAATTAAGCTTCTTCTTTTTTCTTATTTACTTCCAGTTTTTGTAGAGTATTTGTTCAACGTGAGAAATGGAAGATTTGCCTATTGTGGTGCTGTCTTTATATATTGTGTGTGTGTGTGCGAGCGTGCATCAGCATGGGTTTCATTTTCTTGCTTGGCATCTACTCAGATTAGAATGAGTAGACGGTCCTCTTATTTCTTCAACATATATGTCAGATTATAACCCTGTAAACAAAACATGGAATATGATATGTGCAGACCCACTAAAATTAACCCTTACGACTTTATGTTTTAGGCACTTATATAATAAGTTAAAGGAATCAAACATGGTCAATATGGTTGGTTTGACTGACCCTTCAAGCATTTCGGTTGGGGTAGGTGATTCGGACCACAAATCAAGAATGCTAGCAGCCCGGTTACAAAATCTGCCTTCTGATCAAGTTCTTTTGGTACCTTACAATTCCGGGTAAGTTGAGCCTTCTACATTCGATGCTTGTCAACCTTCTGTGTTAGATGAACCAAGAAATCCTTTGATTTCACTAAAATAATTCTGATCCAATATGTAGCTATCATTGGATGTTGACTATCATTAGTGAAAGCAATGACGTATGCTACTTCTTGGACCCTCTTCAGCGCTATTTCATGGACTCTCTTCGACGGAGCATGCACGAGGAAGAATGGAAATATGTTGTAAACAAGTAATCAAGCTGTCCTACATCACTTATATAAATGAAATTATTGTATTAATCTTTCTAGATTGTAAGTTTTTTTTTTTTTTTTTTGGTGCTGAAGTGGTATTAGACAGTTCAACGCTCAAACGGGTCGGGTAGTCCAAAAGCCACCCATATGGAAAGTACTAACGGTATGTTAGTATTATTCATTTACCTTATAACAAATCAGAAGTGTTGAAGGAATCAATAGAAACTAACATACTTTTGAATTGTGTGTAGGGTCCTAAACAACCATCAAATATGGAGTGCGGGTATTATATCATGAGATACATGAAAGAAATCATAGAAGATGAAAACCTTTCATTCGCAGCAAAGGTACAAATAACTGTTCTACGGTTTTCTGTACGGGTGTGAATTGCATGTGTAAGTTGTAACATGGTTGAGGTGCTTTTTTCCTTTTCAACTGCTACTCATTATGCTTTGGGGGTTGCCTTGTAACGGCATCTATAATCCATTGCAAATGAGTGAATCTCCGTTATCTACTGCAAATGGAGTTCTAAAGTGGTTTGTCTTTTTCTATATGGTCTATTCAGCATGTTATCTACTGCAAATGAGTGAATCTCCGTTAGAAATGAGGGTTGTTTAAATTTGTTTTCCAATTATTGCAGCTCTCAGTTTTTATTGTCTAATCTTTAATGTTTCTGTGCTGAACTAAGAAATATTTGCAATTTTGCTAGCAGAATGTCTATAGTTGTGCCTTTTGTTGAATTTTTATCCTATGATGAGATGAACCTGTATGTTCTCATTGTGCACAAACAATGCTTTGCTAAGCAAATTGTTGAGAATACTATTGTTATAGGGTGACCTTCTAAGTTCAGTTTTGCATTACATTTCTTTAGGGGGATATGAACATCGTCAAGCAACTGCTAAGGGTATTTACAAAAACAAACATGTTTGTCGTATTGAAGCGGTAGCTGCGAATTGTTAGCATTTTGCAGGGGCAATCTTTACCTTATCTACATACAAGAAAGAAAAAGGAAGAATTGTATAAGCTAAATAGATTGTGGTGTGCAAATGTGTAATTTGCGGTATAATTGAACATGGTGCGATTATATATAAGCTATGTAAATATCCTTAAGTTGGAAAGCAAATCCCCTCCCCCTAGCCATATTGTGCATCCTTATTTTTCTTTAGCATGGTAATTTTCCGATGGATTATGTTTTAGACAGCTCGGTAATAAGGATTGCCTGATGCGGAATCAACTGTAATGTTAAGAGGCTGCTGTCACCAAATTCATTTAGAAGCACACAGCTACTGCATTCTTTAGTCACGTTGGACATTAAAATGTTCTATGTTTTTGCACTCGTTAATGATAGATGTTTTCTTTATCTTGTTTCAGTGGGACGGGAGGGCGTTACATGCCTACACACAAGCTGAACTCAATGAGGTACGGTGCGAGTGGGGTGATATTGTGAGTGATTATATGTAATGTAGGGGCTAGGTCATAACAACCAGCTGGAAATGATGCATCTGCAAGGATTTATGGCATATATTTTGTATGGATTCCCTTTCAATGTCAAATTCAATTTGGATGAGACCGAATATGTCGCCTTTTCTGGGGGATTAGGGTTAAGGCCGGGAGTACTCCTAAACTTTGATGTATGTTTGCGGTGAAAATCTGCTGCTCTTGGGATGTTTGATGACATTAATGATTCAACAAATGGAGATTTAAGAGTGCTAATTCTAACACCTGTAAAAGAAACCAGCTCCAAATGATTAAACTAACAACTGAAAAACACAATCTAGCATAACCCACATCCAAGCCTGCATAGCCCAAAACAACCGAAACCTCAAATGAAACCATAGCCCCCGTTCATAACTATCACCACAAATCGAAGCCACACCACCATTGAACCCACCGCATCTAGCCTTGAAGAACCTATAGAACAAATGGAGGATTTGCTTAAATTGGTGGTAGAAATATTCGTTTGGAATTGGAAGTAGAAGATTCGAAATATATATATAATTTTGGTTAGAATTGTAAATCAGCATGAACCGAATTGGAACCGACGTGAACTAACTCATACAGTTTTATAATAAATCTAAGCAAAATTGAACTGTTGATATTTTTCGGTTCCAGTTTTGGTTTGCGGGTTTAATAAGGCCGAATCGGAATGTGCCCACCCCTAGTCCTTTGGTATCAACGAAGTTTGAGTGATTCTTTACTCGAGAAGCCTTGATTATCTGCAGATTGCCAATGGAAGGGTTGGCTTTTAGCAAAGTCTCCTATATCTGATCCATGGTGGGAGGGACTCCAGCACTTGGAGCGTCATTTTTCTTGGGACGATTGAGACGTCATGGGCTTGATTACTTGCTTCAAGGGCTTGAGTGATTTCTTGCTTCAAGGGCTTGAGTGATTTCTTGCTTTTTGCCAGTCGAGGTGTTGGCATTAGCATTAACTGAACCTTTTTCGATATACATGACTGTGGTAGAGTAATTTGGTCGCGGGAATATGAGTTCACTCCCAATGAAAGTACCAATTGTTGGAACCAAATTTGCGCACTCATCGTGTGGAGGAGATGCACAAACTCGACTACTTGTAAAAGAGTAAATGATCATAAGACAACCTAGACACCGGTGGGATACCATCCAAAGGTCATCCAATAGTTTAGTTAGTAAAAATATATGAGACTCAAGCAACAGGCAAGATAATAGAGTATTCGATAATTGCGTTACCAAAAATGAACTCTAGACAAGTGGTTTTATTATACAAGTCGGAAGTGAGACGTTTTATGATATGAAATCAGTATTAAACTCAAGGAGCCATTAAAGGATATCTACAGATAGGTGTTTCATCCTTTTAGGAGTATGATTACTTGTCACACACCCTAATCTTTAGGTTGTAGGAATCTTTAAGAATATAAGAAACTTTTTTGATCCCAATCAGATCAGGCTTTCTAGTTTTATGGAACACGAATGGTCAATCTCAGCAAAGTCAGCAGACTTCGCCTATCTTTTCGAAACACAAGATGATGGTGGCATCTTTGGTCCATTTGTACAGCTCAATTTGGTCGAAGTTGTAGAGTCCATAACCTTACTCTTAAGTTATTCGTATTCTGATCTGTCTTACTTCGGCATTGAAAAATAATAGGTCCCACAAGAGTGATAAAAGAGGAAAGGAGAGAGAGAGAGAGAGAGAAAGAGAGAGAGAGAGAGAGAGAGAGAGAGAGGAGAGAGAGAGTAGGATTACTAGCGCAAGAATGATCAACGAGTCTACATGGGCTGGGCTTATGTAATCCGTGCAAGTTATCTTGTCAGGATTTGATTTTTTTTTTTGTCTAATCGTTAAACGAAGTTATTTGAATGCTTTTGATAAAAATAGGATAAAGTGTAAAGCCCTTTTATTAGTTTTCCTTATTATTTATTACTAAGAAAACTTGTCCCTACAGAGAGGCTTGGTTTGTTTCTCTATCAATTTCCATATTTCCGTTGCCTTACTTTTAGATATTCACTAGCATGTAAAATCAATTAAATTATTGAACCAATAATTACAAACATGGTCTCAAACTCAATCATGACTATCGGTGTCATTCCATATTCCTGAAACTTAAAATTCATTCCACTTTACAATGTTTCTAGTTCTTCTGTGAAATAGCTGTTAAAATTGTTGACGTGGATGGGTAGAAATATAAAATCATAGGCTTATATTTAGTTACACCCCCTAGAACTTGATTTTGATCCCACTTTGCCCCATGAAACTCAAAAATAGTCATTTTATAAATCTCAACTATGAATTGTTTAATGTTAATGCATAGTGGAGATGGATTTGATTACAAATCTCCATTATGAATTTTATTATAAATCTCCACTATACATTAACATTCAACAATTAGAATATATTAATTTTAAAAGAAGAAATTAAGTATTAATTTTTTTTTTTTTTTGGGTTGGGTTCTTGAGTTGCAAAGATCAGGAAAAAAATAAAAAATAAAATGATTAGCTTGGTGGACCTAAATCAAACCCATATAATGGAATTTGCTCTAATTCCACGGATAGCAAATAAACCCTAGAGAAAGAGTGAGAGAGAGAAGCTTGGGTTGATAGTGAGTAAGAGAGGAGGGAGTTATCGCCAGTGAAATGGGATAGGTAGTCGTAGGATAAACGAGGCTAGGAAGTCGTTCATTTTCTTTTGCGTTTTGATTCACCATTTTACTGTATTCCTTTTTTTTCCACATGGGCATTTTATTAGCATGTTTGATGGCTTTTGTACGGAATAATAGAATTAAGGCAATGTGGAGAGAATTTTAAGTTTCATGGGCAAAATGATGACTTTTGAGTTTTAGGGGGTAAAGTGAAATCAAAATTGAGTTCTTAGAGGCAAAGTGGGATTGGGGCAAAGTAAGATCAAAATCGAGTTTTAGGTGACATAGTTAAAAATAGCCTTAAATGTATAGATTTTGTTCTTTAAAGATCAAAACTCATGTATTTAGGCCTCAATTTTATATTCATGGAACAAATCAAAGAAATCCCAGCATTTAAGGATCAATTCTTAGAATTTTTTTTGGTGAAAGGGTAAAACTCATTACCAACAAACACAAGTACAACAAAGGCCCATGTACAAGTTATGCATAAACAAAAAGGGACCACAAACACACAGAAGACAAAGTCCAAAGCCTAACCTTGGAGCTCAGTATACACAAACAAACCACACCAAAAAACCCTAAAAAGCTAGTCTTCCTGAAGTTGCAGACGCCGACGCTAACATCGGAGAGCCACCCAAACATCCTCACGTGAAGCCTATTATGATCACTTAAGATGACACCATCAAGAACCCCAGAAATGGTTAAGAAAAAAGCCATAACGTCCTCAAAATACCAGCAAAAATCACTGTTAAGAGAACAAGGAAGCACGCAGAAAGAACCCATGAGCACCAACACTGGCAAGGGAAAACTACAAGAAGGACCAATAATGGTTAACAAGGGTGGTGGTGTGAACATCTGAGCTAAAGCGCTACACACCATCCCAAAGATCCAAGACAAATTATGGAAAAAGGAGATGATAACCAACCGAAAATGAAGATAAAGGGATGGGTCAAAGATGGAGGATGGATGGTGGGACCAAATGATCCAGATGATGGAGGGGGTGGGTCAAAGAGGGGGAATAGGTCAAAAAGGATAGAGGAAATAGGGGATTGGTCTTAAAAAGGTACGATCAAAGGAAAAAGGAGAAAAGAAAGAAAGAGATTGTGACAATTGCATGACATGCCCGACCTTGATATCCTCTAAATACCAAGGTAGGCATGTGCTGCCCGACACTCGAAAATAATGAAACCATATTAGAATGCATGAGAACTAGAAAGAAATAGCTAACATAAATAAAACTTGTAAATTTAACTATAATAAATATGCAATTGTGGAACGTGTTCAAAGCATATAACTAATCCAAGACACTAAAAAGGAATAACATAAAATTGAATGAACAAGGAGATGGGTCCTGCACGGAGAAGACTCGAAGATGCCGATGCGGGAGTGTCTTGATGCCGAGATTGTACACCTTGATTCTAAGTCCTAAGGGGGCACAAAACAAAACATGATTGGACCAAGTTGATATATAAGTAATATGAAAACAATTATTCATCAACGTACTAACCCCCAACGTTTATGAAAACTCAATAGTATAATATGTAATAGGTTTTTTGAAAACCCTAGCGTGCCATAAAACCTTCATAAAACATATATCATATAGTGTGCTTAGTAGTGGTATCATCTCATGCCCGAAGGCATATAGAATTCCTTACTCACCCGAAGGCATATAAAACTCTTCCAATCGAAGCCACCTACACACGCCTGGTCGAAGCCATATATAAATATCTTCCAGCCAAAGCCACCTACACATGCTCGGTTGAAGCCAAATATAAATATCTTTCGGCCGAAGCCACCAACCTACGCCCCGCCAAAGTTATATATGAGTATCATTCGTCCGTACGCCCTACATCACCTAACCGAAGCCAATTAATGATTTCATTCACCCGTAGGCAGTATCATATGAATAACCACTAATTAAGCACATAAAAACATTAACATAATATTTCTAATATATGTATATATATATATATCTATCTATCTCAAATCGGAGCTCAGTAACTAAAATGTCATTTCGTAAAAGCACGTTCATAAGTAGGTATATAGTCATCAATCATATATACCACAAAGAACGTAAAGTCGAATAAGCATGATAATTCATAAACCGTGAAACCAATTTACTCATAAATGTTTCATAAAACGTAGGCATAAAAACCAATTTCTAATAATAAAAATATGCATTTTTGAAGGGGTCCACTCATAGATACTTCACCGTCGAAGAGCCGTGCAAACTAGCGAAGATGGAAATGCCATAAATAATTGCAGCTAAGCACATAAGGGTACTAATTAATAAAACTATAATAAAACGGTTGAATTTGGGAAAACGGACGTCGGAAACTGATCTAGGACATCAAAAAACAAAACAAGGGACCTCGGATACCCCTGTAGACATCGAAATTTCAGTGAAATAAATGTTAACCAATGTATTAAAATTACAACATTTATTTATTTCACCTACATCACACACTCATTTCACCTACAACTTCCACTTATTTCACCTACATCACACACTCATTTCACCTACAACTTCCACTTACTTCACCAACCTCACACACTTACTTCACCTACCAACTCCACTTACTTCACCTACAACATCCACTTACTTCACCAACCTCACACACTTACTTCACCTACCAACTCCATTTACTTCACCTACAACATCCACTCACTTCACCAAAAAAATGAATGGTGGTGATTCACTCTCAAAGCCTGTAAATAGGCTTCTCTATCAAGAGAAAGACACACCAAAACCTTGAAGCCTTAAAGTTCTAAAGCTCTCAAGAAAATCCCGAAGGATCAAGAAAGCACTCTTCGTTCTTTGTCAAATCCTCCTTCAAGATCAAGCCCCAATGGCCCTTGAAGAACTTCTACCAACTCAAGATCAAGCCCCGACGGCCCTTGAAGAAAGTGTTCATCATTCATCATCCGTTCATCCTAAGATCAAGCCCCAACGGCCCTTTGGATCAACAACCTCAACAAACCCATACACCCATTCTTCAAGATCAAGCCCAACGCCCCTTGAAGATCCATTCATCAATCAAGCCCCGACGGCCCTTTGGATCAACAACTCATCCACAAACCTACACCCTACGAAGATAGAATCAGAGGATCAAATTACAAAGAGATTGTAACCCAAAATCATTAATACACAAAATATTATTTTGTACACGTATTCTTGTTTCTTGTTTCAGGAATTTTTCGTGTTTACAACCCCCACGTGCCTGCACGCCCCGGATGGCCACGCATTGATCTGGGTCGCCGGAAAGTTGGTCGAAAAAGTTACCGACGCTGCCGTCACAGTACATCCGATGACGGCGCATGTGCTCCACGCTGACCCATGCACGGCCTGGGTTCTGGGTTGGTGTTTGGGCTTAGGTTATGTAGTTGGTCTTAAAGCTGGGCCAAAAGGTTTCAGGTTTGGGCTTGACAATTGGGCTAGGTTGCATGGCCCAAATCTTTAGGCCAGACTAGGGTTTGGGTTTAGGGCTACCGGGTTGGGTCGACCCGATTTTCAGATTGGTTCTCACAGAGACAAAAACCAGAACTTCCCAAGCTCCGGTTAACCCTGAACCTTGACTACAACCTACGATTTACCCACCAAATTAAAGACAAACTAGAGTAGATTAGGATTATACCTTTGGTTTTCCAAGTAGTGGCCAGAGGTGGCTAGAAAAGTCTTTTGAAACCCACGGTTCTCGTCGGGAATCTAGATTTCGGTTTTCTTCTTCGTTCCATCGCAATCACGTTGTTCACAAACCTAAACTAGGTTAAAGTTGAACCATAAAGATAAATAAAAGAGGATTAAAGTACTTCAAGGCTTACCCCACACGTCGGGAGGTCAAGAAGCTTGCCAGATTTCTCCAAGCTTTTGCATGAGTTTCCATGGTGCTATAATCCTGGTTTGTAATTGCAGAGGGAGAAGAGGAACGAGAGAGGTGAGGAATTGAGGGAGAATGAGTGAAGAGAGAGAGAGACCTGCAAGAGGGAAAGATGAGAGTGAGCTGGGGGAGAGAGCTCGGGGAGCATCAGAGAGAATGAAAGGAAGTAGGGAGAGAAGTGCCACGTGGGAGCCTAAGAAGAAGAAAGACCGGGGGACCAAAAAGAAAGTGGGCCCCACCCGGCTCACCATTTAAGAACCAAACAGTACCCATTTCAAAATATCTTTCAACCCCACTGAACTTACCAAGATACCCTTCCGTTCCAAAATCCGTAAAAATTATCGGGACGGGTTGTTACATTGCAAGGAAGGGGAGGAAACATTGTAAGCACTAAAAAAAAGTAAGAAAAAGCTGAAACTAAACAAAACAACAGAAACAAGCCACACATAAAAAAACATAAGACTGGCACTGATCCTTATCAAAGCTAGAGCTGGTGCCGACATAAATCGAAGAGAACGAAAAACCACTCACATAACAATGAGAAAGACTCATAGGGGAGAGAAGAGCTCTCACAAGAGAAAGATGGGAAATTTCGATCAATTCTTATATTTATCAACTAAAATTGATCAAAAAATTTAGTTTGTGAAAAGCACATAAGATACTCTTTCAAACCCACAAAATTAACTTTATCAAAATTAGCTCAATCAAAAATTAATTTTGAAAATTTTCACAAAAAATGAATAGATTCTTGTGTATGGTGGAGTGATTTGAATATTATTATTTTTTCACCGATATATTAACAATAAGGGATGAAGATTTGGCTCAAGTCACGCAATGGGCCAGTTATATATAATTAATATCGAACTAGCCCTTTATCAAATTTGAACTTAAGATATCCTACTTATAAGTGAAAGAATATTGCTATGTTGTAGTACTAATTAACGATTTATTTTGTTTCTAATACAATGATAGATTGATATTATCATGTTAAAATTTCGAGTTAATCTACATTATAAGTCAATGATAACATTTAAGGTGTGTTTACATATACGTAAAGAAAACGATGAATAGGTGTCATTCCTATTCCGAATTACTCATTTTTTTTATCAACTCAAAAAGAATGAAAAGTAATGTCGGCCCCACATAAAATCAAGAGTCCGATTTTTGGTATTGGTAGAGTCGAATTCTATTTGAGGGATATTGGATTGGACAAAGCGGGATGAAAATCAAACTAGTTTCTGAAAATTATAGACAGCTTAAATAGAAATTAGTGCTATTTTTATTTTGATTATTAAACTATTTAATAAGAGTGTCTCCCTTGGATTTTTGCCTTATTCAATTAATTCCTAGTTGGCACATTGTATTACGAATTAATGATATCCTCTTCACTTGCAAGTGAGAAGTTTTAAATTCGATTCTCGTCAAAAGATAATTTGAACCACGTTATTATGACTCGCCTATTATGAAGCCTAGTATACTTTGCCACTTTGACGAATATATTATCTTATTACTTCAATGCTAAGTAACTACGCCCTTAGTTGAATAGTTACGTGGTCAAGACGGCGGGTTGCCGGACGGACCGCACGTAAACTAAGAGGAAGCAACCTAAACACGACTTTCTTAATTCTTAATTGTGAATAATCAAACACAACGTTTTCTTTTTTTTCGAATATTCTAGTACAACCTGGAGATCTGCACTGCACTGGCGTGCTTTTAATGACACAAAAACCAAGGTGGCGGGATAGTGCTGACGTCAGATAGAACACCCACAGGATATGAACCGTTGAATCGAATCATTCCGTTCGGTTTCTCTGCAATTGCTTGGGCGGCGGCTTTCGTTGACCAATCCGACGCCGCCACCTTTGCGTCTCCGACTTGTCTTTCTCTTCCTCTTCTCTTCTATTTCTTTCGCCGGCTCTCTCTCTCTCTTACGGAACACAGCTGAAAGCCTGAAAGCCTGAAAGCAGCAGCTCTACGTCCACCTTCCAATGGCTTCGGTCAACCCCTATTGCTCCTCAATGGCTCTTTCCCCTTCTCCGTAAGCCCTCTCTCTCTCTCTCTCTCTCTCTCTCGGGTTTAAACTTTGTATTATCCGTTTGTTGATTTGAATAACCACAGTGATCTGAAGTGTTAATCCTGAAATTGTGAGGGATAAATCGAGGTTTTTCATGTTTTGGAATTGAGGCATTGTGTATGTAATGTGTGTTCAATGTTAAATCTTCAAATGGGGTATGCACACATGTCTAACTAGTTTTTATCTTCAGAGGGCACAATAGTCTATATCCTGGGACTTGGCTTGCAGCAAATGGGCGATTATCCGGTTTTGTCACACCGAGTGTGTCTTGGAAATTGTGCCTTGGTTCCAAGGGATCAATTAAGGCAAGAGCTTTGCTGGGAGAAGATGGTCTCCTGTCTTACTCTAATGGCAACCCAACTGGGATTGAAATACAACCTGACACATTAGGTTTTGGAACACTTTCAGCTGAAACAACCCCGACGTTTAGTGGGTTCTCTACCGAATATGATGAATATGATCTAGATCACCCTGTGCAAGGATTTTCTTCCATTCCGGAGGCCATTGAAGATATACGTCAAGGCAAGGTTGGTCATTTCCTCAGCTAGTTCTGTTGTGAAATTAAGGGATCCGTTTACTCTCTTTTTTCTCGTGCTTAATTTTTCTGGAGGTGGATAAGATAGCAGATCATTAATTCAAGAAAATATTGCAGATGGTTGTCGTTGTAGATGATGAAGATAGAGAAAACGAGGGAGATCTTATAATGGCAGCTTCCTTGGCAACACCAGAAGCTATGGCATTTATTGTGAAGCACGGAACTGGGATTGTTTGTGTGAGCATGAAAGGAGATGACTTGGAGAGGTTGCAACTTCCACTTATGGTGACAAAGAATGAAGAAAAACTTTGTACGGCATTCACTGTCTCAGTGGTATGTAGTTGAATTCTCCTAAGTAACATTAAATCCAATTATGCATATTGAGATGCGCTATTAGGAGGGGAACAATGACCTTATCATGATCACAGGCTTCTAGTTCCATGTATTTTACTATTCTGGTCAGTAACTGCATCCGAGTTTGTTGGATCTCTCAAAGGATAGGGAAAGAGTGAAAAGGATATTGTATATACATAGCTGAATTTTGAGTCAATATTTCTTAGGGACAGTGGAGCTGACTAGAGTTGGTATTGCCAACCTTGTCTTTGTCTTGGGGATGGATAGTGAAAGTTTAATCTATTACTTTATTGAATATATACCTGTTTTCTGATTTATAATACTCTGATGTGGGTGACCTCAATTGTTTTGGACTCCATAGGATGCAAAACATGGTGTAACAACTGGTGTTTCAGCTCGTGATAGAGCTGCTACAGTCTTGTCACTTGCATCAAGGGATTCAAAACCTGAAGATTTCAACCGCCCGGGACATATCTTTCCCCTAAAGTACAGAGAGGGAGGAGTTCTAAAAAGAGCCGGTCACACTGAAGCTTCAGTTGATCTTGCTATGTTGGCTGGGCTTGATCCAGTTGCAGTTTTATGTGAAATTGTGGATGATGACGGTTCTATGGCTAGGTTACCAAAGCTTCGTGAATTTGCAAGGGCAGAAAACTTGAAAATTATTTCCATTGCTGATTTGATAAGGTACTCTGAATGATTATGTCTGGACATTATGAGTTCAAAGTGTGCTAGCTTTAGTTACCACATAAATCCTTAAAACTTGACTAGTTTAAAGATGACTACAAAACTGTTTCATTAACTGATAAGGGTTATTACATATATCTGAAACACTGGGTCATCCTGCAATCCTCTAGTTAGCATCTACGAGCTAGTGAAGAATGTTCATTTGACAGCTTAAATATACTTCAAATAATTATAACTTCTACTTCTTTCAATCAGTTAAGAATGGTTCAGGGCTGTCAAAAAACCCTGCCCCTTTTTCTTGCCTTTTCTTCGATAGACTAACTTTTTTGTAAAGTAATGAATTAATGTTATTGTTGCTTCTTGGTATATTTTTGTTAGGACAAGTAAATATTAAATGTCGATTTTTGTCATGTTCTTTAAATTAGTGGAAGAAATTCAAATGATGATGTTTCTGAATTGTAACTTTCAGATATAGGAGGAAACGAGATAAGTTGGTAGAGAGGGCTGGAGCTGCAAGAATACCCACAATGTGGGGTCCATTTGAAGCCTACTGTTATAAATCATTGCTCGATGGGATTGAGCACATTGCTATGGTGAAAGTAAGCAAATCATTGACCTAGAGTATTCTCCCCTTAAAACTATTTAACCTTCTTTATCCAACACCCATCATAAATAGCCGTTGGTATAATCGTCAATCTGTGGATTGTTATTTACCATCCTTATGTCCGTAGAATTCTCCTGCTGTTACCATTCTACAATGTCAGTGTTCGATTGACTTAGTTGCCTGTGATTGTTTTTGTAGATATTATATTGCTCTCGTCTTAGAGTTCAGTTTTTTTATACGGATATACCAGATGTTGTGGACTTGATTTCTTTGTATGGACTTTTGGAATCCCTTACTTGGGAGTCCTCAGATGTGTGTCTGGTGAGAAAACTTCAGAAAAATGACAGAGATGACATGAAAGGCCTTTGAGTTGATATCTCGATTCTCGGCAAGTGGATCTAGGATAATAACCCTAGATGCTTTTAGAAGCTTATATCAGTTAATCCTGAGGCTTGCACCTCATGCTTTTAAGGCTTTGCTTCATATTATTGGCAGTGTCTTGTCATGAACAATCAGCCACTGTGAGCAAATGGATGTGTAAGAAATCGACTGTTCAATGGTCAAAGTGTCGGATGCGACAAGGAGTCATTTGTTGTCAACTTGTCATGGAGTTCTCTTTATTGAACTAGCTCATAGACACCTGTTAATACTTTTCTTTATTGACAGCACGTAGAAACCTTTAGGGATATTATCTTTGCTCAATGAAGGATCTGCCAGAAGGGTTGAAACTTGAAAGCTAAGTTAGAGGAAGATTATCTTAGGTTATATTTTTCTTTGGTAGCTGGCACTTGCATCTTCCTGCCCAAGACTCCACAGTTTTCTAGCTGGATGTGCAATTGTCCATCCTCTACCACCTACCAGCTAGTCTATTATGTATAGCATGTTTCTGTAACCAAAGTTTCTTATCAGACTCTATTTGATGATGGATTTAAGAATGTAGTTTTCATTTATTAAGGGACAGAAAGAGCTTCGAAATTATGTTTATTTATTTAATGTTTTATTTCTTGGAATTAGAATCGTGGATAGCTGTTTATCTATCTGTTTTTCAAATAGTTTAGGATTTTATTTATCTTGCTCTCTCAATACTTTATGAGGACATCTAAGGTACTTTATTTTCATGGGATTGCCTTAGCTGAAACGCCTCATTGTAATAGGATTTCAGACTTTGGCATATTGGTGTGTGATAATAAAGAAATAGGTTGTTGTAGTCCCTAATTGCCTCTCTTTATCCATCTCTTCAACATTTTTCCCATCTTTTTTTCTCTCCTTTCTACTGCATCAATTTTTCCTTCTATCTGCATAAGTTGATGGTCCTACTGTCTTTCCATAGCATGGTTGTATTCTGTATCACACTTTCATATCACTAACTGGGAGATTCACTGAATTGTGAGGTTGGATGACAAACAAAGACAATATTTTGTGTTTGATCAATGTTTATTCCTGTAAGTAACTATTTGCAGGATTTTGAAATGTACAGGGTAACATTGCTGATGGGCAAGAAATACTTGTAAGGGTACATTCTGAGTGCCTCACTGGTGACATATTTGGGTCAGCCAGGTGTGACTGTGGAAAACAGCTGGCACTTGCAATGAAGCAAATTGAAGCAGCTGGTAGGGGTGTTTTGGTGTATCTTCGTGGACATGAAGGTAGAGGAATTGGTTTGGGTCACAAGCTCCGAGCTTATAAACTGCAGGATGCTGGGCGTGACACTGTTGAAGCCAATGAGGAGCTGGGATTACCTGTTGATTCTCGTGAGTATGGCATAGGTGCACAGGTACTGGTTTCTTAATAGTAAATCATCTCATTTGTGTCATCATTTTCAGCATTGTGTATCTTTTCTCGTAGATGTATTGTCATACTGTTAAAAGTGTTGCGTACATGAGCCTCTCTTTCACTCGAAAATTGTCCCTTTCATGGGTGACCAAATTTCGGAATTGATTTGATCCCATTTTAATAAAATTTCTTCGTTGTTGGGGATCTACAAATGATGGGGATTCATTTGTGTTATAGTGTAAACATTAAATCATAATTACTTTGATTCAGAGGTGACTCTAAAATACTGTTAGTTTTTTCATCACATTATAGTTCCTTTCTCGTCACTATGTTGGAAAATTTTTGGCATCAGGGCTGGGAACCGTCTGCTTCAGGTCTTTTGAGTTGGCTGCCGTTATCAAATTGTAATTTGAATTACTATCTGTTGTAATTATGTTTGTAACTGTTAGAAATTATTTTAAGTCGGATTGCATTTAGATTTTCCTAGGCTTGGTTCGTGATACAATCTCCCGTAGCGTAAGGTGGATTGTCTTGATATCTGAACCCATGACTCAATTCTTTTGCAGATACTACGAGATCTAGGTGTTCGAACGATGAAGCTGATGACTAACAACCCTGCAAAATATATTGGCCTCAAGGGTTATGGTTTGGCCATTGCTGGCAGAGTCCCATTGTTGGCACCGATAACTATGGAGAATCGGAAATACCTGGAGACCAAACGGGCAAAAATGGGGCACATATATGGTTCAAAATCCAATGGTCATGTAAATGGCACAATCGATGAAAGTAGTTCGAAAATTGACAACCAATCTACTGATGTGTCCGAGAAATGAACACGTTGGTTTCCACGCTAACAGCCGGAGAATCAAAGGGGTAGGTGACCATCAGAGTTATTCATATGTATGACGTGACAAGAACTTTTATGTTACATTTCAAATGTGGTTGGTGCTTTGTTAGATACATCCATTCATTGGAGGAGGAAGATTTGTGTTTGGCTTGCAGGAAAAATAAAGGCTGGATCGGATTAAATTTTGTCATTAGCAATGATATGGAATAGCTAAGGACAAATTCTGAGGCTGAGATTATTATATTCATGGTTAACACATTTTTTAAACTGTTGTTTCTCTCGTGATTACGAGAGAAACTTACGTGCACCTGTTGTATCCGACATCTTTCATGCATTTGCAACATCAATGCTAGTGGCCTCTTTTTGAATGTTTATCATTCAAGTGTTGTTGGACTTGATCGCATATCGAATAATGCTATTTGCTTTGTAATAAGAATAAATTTCTATGAAATATGAAATGAAAGAGTTTCGCGGGAATTATTATGATCATTGGATATCTTTGAGAAAAAGTAACAAGCGTTATCAAACGATTTCATGGCCCCTTGTCCGAAGGGATTTTGTTTATTGGTAAAACTGGAAATCCTTGCAAAATATTAGTCAAATCGAAAATGTTTAAGACATCTAATTAAGTACAAAGAATTTGACGAACACTATGTTTTAAGAACATCGAGCCACTTAATGCTATAGATAATGGTTTGTTTAAAAAAAATATATATATATATATAAAATAAAATAAAAATTAAAAAAAAAAGACAAGAAAATTTCTTCATTACAATCAAATAAGTAATGATTTCAGTTTAAATTGATTTTTTGTAAGGATTATCTGTGAATGAAGACTTGAAAAAAATAAATAGTTTAGATCGTTGAAGTTCGATGTATAATAGGCCCCACAACTAGTCCTTATTTTTACCAAAAAACGAGAATCTCTTTGGATGCAGGCTGTGTATAGTTTATCTCTATTGTCATATTTTCTATTCTACTTATCCTAGAAATCTTTTCGATGATCGCTAGTCTTTTGGGGTTTATATTCAAATTTTCTGGCTGGCCGACTTACAAAAGTTATTCCTCGCACCTTTTTACACGTATCTATGCATTTTATTTTAGCGTTAAAAAATTGAGCGCCCTAGTGTCAAATTAGGAACCGGTAGATAATAGAAACTTTTTTATAAGTGTGAAGAAAAAATGGCCATACAAATCGGAAATAATTTCCTAATCATGGAACCCGATTCAAAACGATCCCACACTACTTGTCAATCAGAGCTTAATTATTTACGAATGAGAATTATTCTTTTTGTGAGGATCTCATGATTCTCCAATCACATTCGTTCATCATATATAATGTACGAAAGCTGTGTCAAACGAAATTATTTTGAATTTTTTTATTTAAAATTAAATAGAAATAGTGCTTAACGAAAACTGGTCACATGATATATGATGAACAAATAGGGCTTTTCATTGTACATAATATCTGCCCGATCTTATCCGATGCTAACACGGCTAAAAACTTTTTATTGTATTTATTGTTTTCTTGCGCATCAAGGAATTCAAAAGCGTTGTCATTCAATACTATGGTCTGATCGTATTCTTCTTCACTTGAAAGTGAAAGGTCTTAGCTTGAATCTATTAGATGACGTATTTGATACCAAATTAAGCTGCTTAATGTGTAGTTGTACCAAACTCTCGCTCCTCTTAATATAAAAATATCGATATACTCAACCAAAAAAAAAAACCGTTAGAATGAGATAAGGGCTGTGGTCCGCAACTAACGTGGCTTACTCATTAAAAAAAAAAAAATTATCTTGGCATCATTTGTTTCTTATTGTTTATTTATTTTTACGACTTATGAGGACTTGACTCTGCTGAAAAAGTGAAACTGTCAGCAAAATTCGGGGCAGATTAAGGACAGACCTTTTTTTTTTCTTTCTATTTTCCTTATTTTAGACACTAGGGCTTCGTCTCGATTGATATAGAAAAATAAATTGAGCTGAAAAATTAAACTTTTTTAACAAATAATTTTATCTACACTAAAAAATACAATCTATTTTCCTTATTTTAGACACTAGGCTTCGTCACAATTAGGGCTGGAAAAAAATAACCCAAAAAACCAAATCCGATCCGAAATTTCCAGAATCCTACCCGAAAAAATAAAAAAAAAGCCAAACCCGAAAATCCCGAAACTTTTGGTATGGGATTCAGTTTCGATAAACCTTTAGTTCGGTAATCCCGAACCGAACAACAATATATTAATATATAATATGTATTTAATTCAAGTTAGAAATTATAAACTATCTGGACCATTGGATTGGTTGAGATTTAATCTCAACTGTCCAACCTAAGTTATAGGGTTTAACACTCTCACTCTCTCACATTTCTTACTGAAGCCTTAACCCTCAACCCTTTCATCTCTCTCGAGTTCTCACTTCTTCGCCTCTGTTCTCTCCTCTGCCTCTGCATTTTTGAGGTTAGGGGCTATGACTATTGCCATAACAACTGCCTCTTCATGTCCTATAGTTGTTGCCCTTTATTCCCTCTCTTCTTTTTCCTCCTCTGTATCTTTTCGATTCCCAAAACCCCAAAATAGCTCTTCTTTCATTTGCGTCATCTTTGCTCAACCCAAATCCTCTGTTCCTCGCTACAAGCTTCGCCAACCTGCCATCGTCGCATCGGAGCAAAAACCATCCTTTCAGGTCTTCATGATTAATTATGTGGTTTTTTTTTAATGGGCTGCAGTCCTTTCTCATAATAATAATAATAATAATGGGTTGTAATCTGATTCTTTATTTGATTTCGATTTTGTTTTGGGATTTGTTTGTTTATCATTTTGAGCTTTTTACAGGATTTTTGTCTTTAATTTTGTTTTGAATAGCAGAGTGATGATGCAATTTGGCTTCATATGAATTGGATTTGGGCATAAAGGATCAATCCCAATCCGTCCCGATATCCCGAAAAAAATTTTGGGCATCCCGAAGTTCAGAAATCTCAAAAATTCGGTTCGGTTTCGGGATTTGAAATCCCGTTCTGAAATATTTCGATTTGGAAATCGAGATGGTGGTTTCTGTTCGGTATCCCACATCGAACCAGCCTTCAATTGGTATAGAAGATTGAATTAAATTGGAAAATCAATTTTTTTTTAAACAAATGATATTATCCACACTAAAAAAAGACAAGGGTGGGCTTAGCTTTATAATGAGCTAGTAATAATATGGTTCAAATCTATCTTTGACGAGAATTGAATCTAAATCCTCTCACTAACAAGTGAAGAGGAATATTGATGAGTCCATACTATAACATATATTTTATCCTAATCTTAGTATTAATTTAATAGTTATTTTGGTAGAATTTTGATACTTTGTTATATATTTTCTATGTAGGACATTCGAATTCCTCTGGAGCAAAAAGTGATCACACGGATGAATTTTGGAGTAATTCCAATTGGAGGATGTTTGTGAGTCTTTCTAGATGTTTATATCAAAATTCCAAATTTTTCTACCAAGTCGTTTGGCCGTAGCAAAGAAATGAAGGCCTAGCGCGCAGCTTTTCCAGATTGACGTTTTTGGACATTTTGGGTATTTTGGAGGTCAAGATGGCGTATTTCGAGGAAGATTCCTGCTGAGAATTTGTAGGAGACGTCTTCAGCTTTAAAAAGAGACGTTCTTGGGACCAAATCGGAGTTGATTTGGTTAGTCAAAACTGTGATTTTCTAAGAACTCCAAATTCTAATTCAAATAGAAAACCTTTTATTTTCTGTTTTATTATTTAATTATGTTTCCTAGTTCTACCCTAAGACTTTTTAGGGTTTTATTTTGTATTAGTATAAATAATGCTTGTTAGCCATTAGGGTTCTCTAGGCAACATTGGGAGGAACGTACGTGGAGAATTTAGCTAGACTTTGACGCTTTGTATTTTAAAGGTGTTTTCTATCCTTTTTCTATTTCAATAAATTCCTTTTGTTTTATGGTTGTTCGTAGCTAATTTGCGTTTGCTAGGGCGATGCCTTGAGCCTTAGCATGAATATGTAGTTTTTATTTAATTGCTTATGATATTATACATGCATGCTTTGAATTATTAATTATTGTGCTTTAAACTGTATCTATATCTTAATACTTAGCTACTATTATGATGTTTAGATAAGTAATCGGATGCAATTCAGTCGGAATACCACCGAGGAATTGAGTATTGCTTCTTGTGATTGATAGGTGTAATTTCACCTAGGATGAATACCACGTCTTAGAGGTTGCATGGTTTTTCAAAGGGTTTTCACAAAGCATAATGAGTCATGCATGTTTATATTTGATCTGAATATCACGGACGGATTGCATGTTTGATATACGTTCTAGCTTGAATACCACGAGTAGAATATGCATTAGGAAAACCTAACCTTCAAAGTTGTATGGGTAATTCATAAGTAATTGATAAATCTACATAGGATTGTTAAGGAGACAGCGGAACCCTAAGCTTTTACAATTTTAATTTTCAAAAACTGTTTTCCTTTAGTTTATTTTATTTTGGCACTTTATTTAATTATTTTCTATTAAATTTGTTTTTATTATTTTAAATCATAAAATCAATTTTTTCCAATCTTTGTTTTTAAATAATTCATTAAGATTTGGTATTTACATAAATTATTCATTCAATCCCTGTGGAAAACGACCTTGCTTGAGCCGTTTATACTATAACTACCTTGTTCTCTTGCAAGTATTTTTAAGTGTTTTTATCCCTATTTTGGCAGGTGGAAAAATTCCTATCAAGAAATTGGCGCTGTTGCCGGGGATTATTTTAAATAATTTGTGTTTATCAACTCTTAGTTAATTATTTTTGTATATATCTTTTCATTTACTTGATTTTATTTTATTTTTTTTAGGTTACAATTTGTGCAACAATGGAATTTGTTCCTTCTTCTGAATTTGCAAAATGGGGTTTTTATGGATTTAAACCTACAATTTGTGCACTTTGCTGTTTGAAGACCCACAATATTTTACAATGTCCTCAGAAGGAATATTTTCCAGATTATGTCAAGGAGTATATCAATATGAGAAACAACTCAAAAAGAAATTGGAACAATCCATATTCAGAGTTCTACACCCCAAGTTTGCAAAAGCATCTTGAGCACTATTTTGAGCAGTTTAATGTGCCACAGGAGCTTCCAGTAGAGGACAAGCTCTCTAAATTGTTGGAATCAATTGAATTGTACACTGAAATAACCAATCAAGGATTTCTGATTCAAGCATTAAACTGTGGGATAAGCTATGATGATCGAGAGGTTGGTGTAGGAACTAAAGAGCCATTTGCCTGTTGTTCACGCCCAAGGGAGGAAGCAACACATGCTGATCCTATAATCCCACCAGAATCGAGTGCTACCCGTGTTTATGTGCCACCAAAACCTTTCCCACAAAGCCTGCAGGAAGACATGAGTGTTAATATTTTAGGAGAGGTTCACACAAATTTAACATCCAATATACTGCATGATCAGCTCTCAAACACATTGATCGATTTGGATACAGGGCAGATGACTACTGATACAATTTATGTTGCTGAATTGGATGGTCCAGCAATGTAAGCATTCAAATTTAAAGAAAATCTAGGCGAGTCCTATGAGCAAGCTAAGATCTACAAGGGAAGGCAGAAAAAGCTTAGTGGCAGCCCAATTCTCCGTCACGAAATTCGGCCAAAGCAAAAATTGTGGGTATTAAATACAAGATTGAAGTCAGTTCAAGGAAAACACAAGCATCGATAGAGGGGAACCTATTTGATCACAAAGATTCATTCACATAGAAGGGCAATTATAAAGAATTCAATCACTGATAAACAACAACTCATTCCATATCTACTGTTGCCGTATGATGCTATCAAGAAGTGGTTAACTCTAAGAAAACAAGTGATGTGATCACAAAGCTCATTTCAAATCCGTCTAGCTATAGACATTAACTAAAACGCTTATTGGGAGGCAACCCAATTTTTCTAAACTCTTTTCTTTTTATTTTCATTCATTTTATTTTCTTCCTTCTAGTCTTTATCACACACACACACACACACACAAATAAAAAAAAATAAAAATAAAAATAAAAATTGAAAAACACAAAAACAGCAATTGTTTTGAGTTAATCAGTATTTTATTTTGGGATTTCTTCTAATTAGAATTTTAATCTGTATTTTTGCAGGTTGCATTTCGACTCGAAGGGCCCTAAATATCCATTAAGCGCGCAAAATTCAATTGAATCATGCTTTCAGCAGCATTCATTCATCCACATTCATCATACCTCAATGGATGAACAGTTCTGAAATACTCACAGTGGGGGTTTACTATGCTACTCTTTGCCCTGTTTGGAAACTTTCGCTCACTCTCTCTCACTTACAAATTCCATTACATACAAGTTTGGGGGTGGACCAAGCAACATAGAAGGAGAGCATAACTGTTCATGCAAACCAAGGATCTAGTTGGTGCATTGTTGAGCTCAATATTCATCATATTATTCATGGCAGCATGCATAGAAAAAAAAAATTGGAGACTTTCAGACCAATGGATGTGAGACAGAAGCCACACACTGACCAAACCACATGAACAAAATGACCACAAAGACACAGATTCACATAATCTATTCATCCAAATCACAGTTGAAAATTTATACCTTCCGTTCAACCTTAAGATCTGCGATTTGGGTTGTTTCTTGCTGTGGATCTGAAAGTCCTGCACAAGATACACATATGCATGAGAATGAGAGTGAGCATTTTTATCTGCCATGGAGGGCAAAGATCCCAGTGCTGGCTACGCAATGTGATGGATCTGGGGTTGCATGTATGGCGTAGAGTTCCCGGTTTCCATTTCTCAAACCCGAAGTTTGGGGGTGGCAGGTTGTAGTTCGAACATCAGTCACGATTTTGGACAAAATGGCTATGGTGGCATGGCTATAGAGATGGATGAAGGTTAGAGATAAAGAGTCGTTAGCTCTGAGTTCGAGATAGCTCTCAGTAAGGAAAAATGATGGCAATGGGCTATGTTTTAATTTGTATAGTGGATCTTTAGGGTTTCAGTCACCCATGTGTATTGCACGTGTGCCAGGTAGGTGACTTCTGTTTGTGGTGTTTGCCATCACGTGGGCTGGTTAAGTGCATGGATTTTTTTTTTTTTAGGGCCTAGTCTTTTGGTTTCCATGGCTGCCATTCTTGCGCCGTGTTTCTTTGCATCCTACCCCATGTCCAATGCCAGGTCCACATTTTCAAACCAGGTGCATTCTTTTCTTTTCTTTATCTACTTATTTTGTCCCTTTTCTTTTCATTTTTGTTGTTATTTTTCTTTACTATCTTTTAATTATTGTTAGGTTTAGTTAGGTTTTGTTTTAATATTTAATTTTCTTTGTAAGGTTGTTTCTTTGTTTCTTTTATTTTCCACACCTTGAGGACAATGTGTGATTTAAGTTTGGGGGTGGGAAATAGAATTTTAGATTTTTAATTTTTGAGTCATGTTAAAATTTTTCATTCTTTTTAAGTTAATATCCATAGTTTATTTTAAAAGTTAAAACAAATGTACATGGTGAAGGTTAATCCCATATTAGAGTCTTTTCTATTTATCGTTGCTTAGACACTAATTCATAAGTTATACTTTGAAATTTGCACATTCACATCAACATGGTTTGTGGGGAGTGAGATTGAAACACTTACTTTTAGTCTAAGTTTAATTTTAATTTTTGTCTTAAGTAAAGTTTAGTTTGTATTATAAATAAAGTAATAATTGTTCCACCCGAGACTTTACTTAGTAACTGGGCCAGTCCTGGCTGATCAACAGTGATTCTCGCGTTAAACAGTAGAGTTTTGGCATGGGGCAAAGTGGTTAGTTGGTTTCGTAGCCTTTTCAGCTCGAGTTAATAAGTCCTTAGGGGTGTTCTACACATAGTGCCTTAAAGCCTTTGTGGTTCGGGAGTCATTGACCTAAAGCTCGCTACAGGGGCTGGATCGAAAGCTTAAGAGAACTGGCATTGCATGACCACCACTATTACTAAAAAAAAAAAGGAAAAAAAAAAAAAGAAGAAAACAATATATATCAAGTTATTATGTGTGTGAAGTGTTAAATAAAGAGGATGAGAGGTAAGGGTTTTAGTTGAGTCTCTTTAACTATGCTGGTTCACTTTACACCGAAGGAAGTTCATGAATTCTTTTCTAATTGATTCTAAATGGCTTAGACTCTGTGGTGGGATTCGTTGGAACTTTTGGAAAGATGTTTTAATTTTTAAAGTTTTCTATGGACTGCAACTTGAAGATGAAAATTTTGTCTTAGTTGAGTTTTAATAAAGTTTTTAAGTTTGCTAGTTTTTATCTTTGTTTTTGAGTTTTGTTTTGCTTGGGGACAAGCAAAAAGTCAAGTTTGGGGGTATTTGATGAGTCCATATTATACCATATATTTTACCCTAATCTTAGTATTAATTTATTAGTTATTTTGGTAGAATTTTGATATTTTGTTATATATTTTCAATGTAAGACATTCGAATTCCTCTAAAGGAAAAAGTGATCAAATGGATGAATTTTAGAGTAATTCCAATTGAAGGATGTTCATGAGTCTTTCTAGATATTTGTATCAAAATTCCAGATTTTTCTAACAAGTCGTTTGACCCTAGCAAAGACATGAAGGCCTAGCGCGCAGCTTTCCCAGATTGACGTTTTTGGACATTTTGGGTATTTTGGAGGTCAAGATGGCGTATTTTGAGAAAGATTCCTTCTAAGAATTTGTAGGAGACGTCTTCGGCTTTAAAAAGAGATATTTTGGGACCAAATCGGAGTTGATTTGGTCGGTCAAAAGTATGATTTTCTGAAAACTTCGAATTCTAGTTCAAATAGAAAACTTTTTATTTTCTGTTTTATTATTTAATTATGTTTCCTAGTTTTACTCTAAGACTTTTTAGGGTTTTATTTTGTATTAGTATAAATAATGCTTGTTAGCCATTAGGGTTCTCTAGGCAACATTGG